TTTCAATACATCAACATCGTCAACGTTTCAATACATCAACATCGTCAACGTTTCGATACATCAACATCGTGGATGACAAATAAGTGTGAACGTGTAACGGTGACATCAACACTTGCCGTCATTGTCAACATCATCAAAATGTCTTAACCCTTATATGTAAATGTTATCGACGCACATCAACACAACCTGCGTCATGTTTGTTGACACAAGCACTCTCACTGTATATTTTCTTGCCGGGGTACTAACAGAGCCTGTATCTTCACAAGCCAAAAACAAAACAGACACAAGTAGCGAAGGATACGGTGACAGCCTGTCGATGTCCCTGCCAGGGAGATGAGAATTGACGCATAACATATGTCTGAATCAATCAAAGCAATGCAGTAAGTGCTGTTAAGATGCTAAAGCTGCTGTTAATCTACTGTAAGACCATAGAGATCGAGCTAGACTCACCCTGCGCCTGTATAAGCTGCTCAACTGTGCCCCACTCCTCACTCTTGCACCAGTGCGCTGCTAGGTCAGCGTCTTTCGTCCGGACGGCAGTCAACAGTGGCGACATCTTGCCCTGGAGGTTAAAGTCGTGCGACAACATTGAAACGTGTGGCCCAGTGCTTCAGATTACATCCACCCAATAGAAACTGCTATAGTCGAGTGAAACCGACTGGCAACAGAGAGCCTGTGATTGAACTTGTTTTGCAACTGGGTTGGACAAGTTTCGCAAGCACAAACGCATGCATGACAGACACACTCTACACTTTAACACTTGCTCATCTCCTGCCACCCTCTCTCTCCCCCCACACTTCCCTACCCCCTCACTCACCCTCGGTGCCAGCATGCCGGCCATCGCTAGAAACATGAGTAGGAGAAATTCAGACATCCTCCCCCCGGCTTCATCTCCTGCACCCTTGCCCCTCCCCACCCTTCCCCCTCCCCCACCCTTCTCCCAGACCCTCACTCACTCTCAGTGGCAACATGTCGGCAGTCGCTAGAAACACGAGCAGGTGGAAGTCGGACATCGCCTCAAGGCGTGTCTCGCTGCCCGCGTCGGCGGCGAACTGGCGCACGTATGCCGCGAGCGCGTGGAAGTCCTGAGCGTCTCCCGTCGCACGCCGATTCTCGATCGGGAACGCGCGGTGGCCGCCACCTCCTCCACCGGCGGCGGCGGCTGCGGCTGCGGGGAGGGGCGGCGGCCGGAACGTGTGTTGCGGCCGCAGCGGCGTCGACACAGGAACGTCTATGAGCAGGTACTCGATGGGCAGCGGTCGCGCGAGCTGCGTCACCTTGTTACCGTACGTGTCCTTCTCCTGCAGGCGATAGAGAGAGAGAGATAGCAAGATGGTCACTAGGGAGAGGGAGAAGGAGAGAGAAAGATATAGCAAGATGGTCACTAGGGAGAGGGAGAGGATAGAAGGAAGGGAGAGTAGAGGTAGCGTAGAAGGAGAGAGAAGGAGGGAGGGAGGAAATGGAGGCGAAGTGAGAGGAGAGGGAGGGAGAGACAAGAGAGAAGAGAGAGAGAGAGAGAGAGAGAATGAGAAGAGAGAGAGAGAGAGATAAAGAGAGAGAGAGAGAATAAAGAGAGAGAAGAGAAAAGAGAGAGAGAAAAAGAGTAGGAGAAGAGAATGTAAAGTGGGGGCAGGAGAGAGGGAAGAAGAGAGAGATTATCAATAAGAGTCCCATAATCGAGGGATTAATGGGAGTTGATGGCGGATTAATAAATATTGTAATGCCCCCACCCTTCGACAATGGAAAATTGTCCACGCGTGCCGCAAATGGTGAAGATTCTGAAAGAATTAATACTGCTAATGCAAGCATCGTCAATGTCCTTACAGCCCCTGCGGTCGACAACACTGCAGATATCTCAGATGGAAGGAAGAGGAGGAGGAGAGAGAGAGAGAGAGAGAGAGAGAGCAGAGAGAGAGAGAGAGGAGAGATGAGATGAGAGAGAGAGCAGAGAGAGAGAGAAAGAACGCGAGATGAAGAGAGAGAGGAGGAGGAGAGAGAGAGGTAGCAAGAAGGTCATTAGAGGTCGTTCGCAGTTGGAGAGAGAGGGAGGGACTGACAATGAAAATGACTAGTGTATAAGGATGTAATAATAAGCAGTGTTTTTTCGATCAGTGGTCCGATAACAGAAAACTGGCTCACATTTTTCTCAAAATTCAATTCGTTATGATAGTCATTCTTATTAACTACTGTTCTGTTTCCTCCCCCCTCTAATTTGATATATTTAATTGTCATTACTTACTTAGTCATTAATTAGCACAAATTGAACTAAATTTAATCTTAAAGATAGCATCTTCACACGTTCAACACCACCGCTACACAACCGAATGACGACATCTACCCGAACACAGACAGCAGTTCCCGCATACCGTGAAGAAGACATCGGGGACATATTGTTCGTTGGTCGATTCGCGGATGTATCCCAGTTCAGGGGCGTCCTTCGTCGGCACCAGGATGTCGTCCCCCACGAGCGCCATGCACTGGTTCGACACTTGGTAGCCTTCCATGTGCACCTGGTTCTCCTTGTCACCTTTGCGTGGAGAGCGAAACGGGAAAAGTTTACTTCCTACAAATATAGCTCTGGATACTCTAGCTTTCGTTGCACTACGTAACAGTAACACGAACATATCTACACAATACATTTGCACATGTATCAATAATTATGTAAATAGACGTGTTGAAAGATGATTGTATATAAAGATGTATAGATACACAGTATAATTGTATGGATATGTTCATGATAGTAACTATAGTAACTAGAGTTCACCCTGACTAGTGTAGGCATAGTAACAGTGCATGACTGGCACCTGGTGATAGGGTGTTGAGGATGAATGGACGACATATACAGGTAACTAGTAGTCGGTGACTAGGAACATTAACAGGCACAAAGGATTGATAATGCTTGTGCTGAATTTTCGAGTCGAAAATAACACCAGTTGCTATTATTACACATTTACATCAATTTGCTCTACCAGCCATTTTCATGCACACACCATACGAGACTGCTCGCCTGTTCATAAACGATCTAACACAAAGCTGTCATGTTCCTACACACATAACCCTGCAGTGTGAATCTATGGTGCGAATATCTAACACGGAGCTGTCAGGTTTATGGATGCATCACCTGATATCACAATAGTGACAAATTTAGAACCGAAGTGGCCATCAGGAGACAGCTTGCACGGACTCGGATGCTGGTTCTGGAGACGACCCGCCAAGATGCTTTCCTCCGCACTTAGAAAGTGTGTTTGCTGCAATAAAATGATGAGATTCAATTAGTCTGTGCTAAACAATGGAGTAGTAAGGGACACTTAAAAGAAACAGGAGACTGAAACGACCCCATAGTAAGTCAGAGATGCTGAGGGGGCAGAAGAGAGAGAGCGAGAGAGAGAGAAAGAGAGAGAGAGAGAGAGAGAGAGAGAGAGAAGAGAGAGAGAGAGAGAGAGAGAGAGAGAGAGA